CTGCGCTTATGCTGGAGCGAAGGTGCCAAGGCACAGAGATAGGGCTCGAGTCCAACCACTCCTTGCTGGGGCTCCAGCACCAAAGCTCTGTTTCACCACACTCACACTTGCTCATAGCAAGCAGTGGGATGCTCCTGGGTGGCTGCCCCAGCCACGGTAGCACTTGACCTTGTTTCTTCAACCTCTCTGGTTTGCCCTAGCCCTGCCTGCTCCTTTTCTCTTGTGCTGCCCGGTCTCCCATCTGGACTGTCCTGCAGCCCAGCTCCTGATTGCACTCAGGCTTCACCCTTCAGCTCCATGCAGCCACAGCCTGTGCCTTCTTGGTCACAGGTCATCTCAGCCCTCCCAGCAGATATTCAAGTTCACAGCATGACCCAAACTCCAAGCTGCTCACCAGCCTTGGAGGACCTCCAAAAGGAACACAAACAAGATTACCACTTGCTCTGCCCTCCCAGAGTGCTATTTACAGAAGTAAGAAGAGTCTCTTTACTTATCAGTGTGGTCATCTGTGAAATGAAGCATTTGTAGATACTGAAATCAAGAAACAAAAAAATATCTGATGTTTTTTTCCCCTTTAAAGTTTTTCTCACTGCATTGACTAAGAAGACCAAAGGAAAATTTGATCCTGGTAACAGCATCTGCTCATCCCTGCTGGGAAAGTCCAAAGCAGGAAAGATACTGAGAAAAATGTAAGGAAAAAACACCCACAGACTGACAGTGGGAATGGAGAACTCCAGGAGGCAGCCCAAGTTAACCAGTGTGTAGTAATTCCCAGTGCTCCCAGGAAGCCAGAAAGGCCAGGACCACAGGTGAGCATCATCTCTTAAAGCAATTAGCTGCAGGTGAATAGAGTTATAACTCTATTGCAGATCCTCAGAGGAGATTCTCCAGCTGGTGTTGCTTGGCATTTCAACACCTTGACTTGACTAGCATATGGGTGATGTCTACACTATAAAAAGAGTCACTCAAAGAAGTGCACATGATGCAATAGAGATTTAGGTCTTCTGAAAGCCATCAAAGAAATTCAAAGAAGTGTAAAGGATTAAGCAGCTGTCCTTCATGCACATCTCTAGGGAACTTCAGTCCTGGAAAAACCCATTCACAGTGTCCAGCCGTGGAGTGAATTCACATAAGCAGCCTCCAACCCCCACACTAATCTGTACTGCTTGAAAGGAGCAAAAGGACCAAGAAGTCCAGAACAGGATTCAGTCCATAAGCAGATAAGATCTAGATAAAACCATAGTTAATTTAATAACTAATATTTACAAGAGGCCCTTCTGAAGAACAAGAAGCAATTTCAAGGAATTATTTACCTGCTCATGATACTGTGCTTTTATTTCACCTTTTGAAAGCCATGTAATTAGTTGCATTTAATTTTCTGTATTAGACATCAAAGCCAATCTTACTTCCCTTACATAACATGCAGTTATGATATACAGCATTTTGTTTCTGCAAAATACCACATATATTCAAACAACTTTAACTTCACACATTTCAGTGTTTTTCCACCTCCCTAGTGCTTGCTAAGCTACTTCCTCTCAGGCCAGAGGGGAAGATGAGAACCCTGCAGATACAGCCTGTACCCCATGAGCCCTTCTGAGCCACACCAAAGCAGATAACACACTGCACCCTCCTCACAGAGACCCCCAAATTGTTCCAAGCAACTTGCTCAGAACCTCTGAGAGAAACCATAGTAAAGGCAACACAGTTGAACAGTGACTTGCACTTACCTTCCCTAAAGCACCTCCTCTGCCTGCTCTCCTCCATCACAGCCACAACAGCTTCTACCTGCCTGCTTTTGTCTCCCTGGCCTTGATGACTAATGCAGCCCAGCTGGTGGCCCAAAGGAGAGCACACCAAGCTGAGCAGGAGAAAGACTACAGCCAGTGGTAGGCAGAAAATTGTAACCAAGAGCTCTTGTTCATGTAATTCCTGCTGAACCCCCCTTGCATATCACACTCCTTCCAGTAGAGGTGTGTTCCTCAGTTGAAACAAAGCAGTGTGTTTTTTTTGGAGGACCTAAAATGCTAATTTCCTAATCGAGGTTTAAATCAGTTGGGTTTCAGCTTGCTGCATGGAAAAGCAGTTAATTTACGGTCCAAACTACTCTGCCAACCATACCTATCTGTTATTGAGCAGCATTGGAAGGCAACAGCATGTGACGACAGTTTGTGATCATCCTCATAGCTGCCCTTTAGCTGAGCTTACCTTGGTGAAGACACAGAAGAAGATGGAAGCATTGCTTCTGGTTCCACTACAGGAATTTCTGCTGTCATCAAGCACACATGTATTGAGGAGTCCTGGGTGACATAATGGAAATCAAAGCACTGTCTCTGAACCTTGGTACCAAAATGGTTCTCAAGACAGCAAGTAGGTTTTGCTCCTCACAAAGGTACGCATAAGCCCATGAGGTGATGGCCCTGTCCAACCTTTGTTTCCTGGTCTTTTTTTTTTTTTTGCCCCTTAGAGAAGCTGTGAGTTCCCTTCCACTGAGCAGAGTGCTGCTGCCAGCACATGGATGTGCTCCAGAGGAGTGCAGTGTGCTCTTGCAGGAGCTCCCAGTGAGGGAGCGGTGCTGGATGGATCCTGAAGTAAAAAATACTTCTGAAGGGGGGAAGGCAATATTTAATGTTGGTTAATCCTGAGAAAAACGAGCCATCCCAATCAGCTTTGAGAGGATCCTATGTAAAGAATTTCACTCAGAGGGTGGTGATGCACTGCTGACCTCCAAGGAGGCTGTGGATGCCCCATCCCTGGAGGCATTCAAGGCCAGGCTGGATGTGGCTCTGGGCAGCCTGGTCTGGTGATCGGCGACCCTGCACATAGCAGGGGGTTGGAACTGGATGATCATTGTGGTCCTTTTCAACCCAGGCCATTCTATGATTCCATGTAAAGGTGGCGGTGGCTGGGCAGAAGCCCAGAAACCTTTATCTTTCCCGCCGCAGCCCCACATAATGCTTATGGAGCCTCGCTAAGGAGCACAGGAGCCTCGTGCCACACACAAAGCCAGCAGCCCTGAGCACACCCCGCCACCCCACCGCAGTGAGCCATCCCCTCCTCCAGCACCCACTCCCAGCACCCGCCGGGCGCTGCCCTGGGGCCAGCAGCACCAGCAGGCAGAGAGCAGATTACCTCGGGATTATCACAACCCACGGGTTGAGGGATTACAAAAGAAAGACCGCCGGTCCGGAGGAAGCAGCGCAGGGCGCTCCGCCCTGACTTTGCTACGGCGCGAGGGGAGCCGCGTGCCGCCCTGCAGCCCCGGCAATGACGGAGCACAACCGGCAGCGCTGTGCGTGCAACACTTTGCAACGTTATTGCAGATTCCCCTCTCAGCCACCGCTCGGTTACTGTCTTCTTCTTCTTCTTCTTTTTTAAATCCATTTTTTTAATTTTTTTAAATTTTATTTTGCAAACCTTTGTGGAACAGACGCCCTCTCCTTGCTCCGGTTGGAGCTGCAGTAGAATGAAAGAGGGGGGTGGGGGTGGGAAGGAGGGAGGAGAGGAGGAGAAAAAAAATAAAACACTTTTGGTTGAGGTTTTCCTGTTACTATCACTGTAGCGTTTATTTAGCCAATCTCCTAACTGTGACGTGAGGAAGGCAGGAATCATGGCTCGCTCATAATATTTAACACACCCACTGGAAGCTGGAGCTGCAGAGCTACCCGTCCAACCCGTCTCCAGAACCCAGTGTGGCTGAAAGAGGTTTTCACTCTTGCACCTGCCAAGCAGCTCTCCCCCCCCCCCCCCCCCCCCCCCCCCCCCCCCCCCCCTTCTTTTTTTTTTCCTGTGCCATATTTAACCTTTATGTTGCAGTTGTGCCATCCGACAGTTTTGCAGCCAAAAAAACCCAACCCACGCCAAAGGCAAAGCACAGCTCGGATACAGCAGCCACCCCGGCTGGATCTCAGCTGAGCGCTCATCTCTCCCGAGCGGCGGACAAAGCGATGGATGAAGGAACTGGAACCGCTCGGAGAAAATGATTTTGCAGCCAATGTTCTTAAGCAGTCTCACAGAAGAGAGGGAGCGAGCGGAGAGCGCTTCTGCTGCATCACTGGGCGCATTCAAAGGAAGGAGTCAGCGTTTCCTGCACTGCCAAACGTTATGGATGATTTTTTTCCTTCTGTCGCCTTTCCGTACAGGTTTTCTTAATATTCTTCTCCCCCCCCTCCTTCCCGTCATTTTGTGAACGATGATGATTTAATCGCAGCCAGCCTCAGACGCCGGTTTCTCCTCCAGAACCAGCTCTCCCTATTTGTTGTGATCCCCGTAATAAAAAGCGAGAGAAACCGCGAACAGATGGCTCTAGATATCGCAATGCCGCTGGCTTTGTTTTCCTATTGATTTTAAAGGCTCCTTCTTCCGATTTTTTTTTTCCCGATTTTTTTTTTTTTCCCTCCCCCCTCCCAAGTTCTTGATGATACTGAGAAATGAGGACCTATCGCTTTTAGCCTGTTTCTGTCGCGGCGCCTATGGAGATAACTTTATTGACTTGATCGTTCGCTGCCCGACCCGCCAGGAGAGCGCCGGAGCCCCGGGGGGGGCGGAAGACCCGCGCCCGCTGCCGGCCGACCCCGCCGCCTCCCCTCCTTCCCTCCCCCGCTAATTCATCAGCCGCTCCCGGCCATGAAAATGCTCCTGGTCCGCAAGTTCCGGGTGCTGATCCTCATGGTGTTCCTCGTCGCCTGCACCATGCACATCATGATCGACCTGCTGCCTCGCCTGGAGCGCCGCGGAGCCGAGAACCGCCCGGGCTGCTCCTGCCCTCCGCCCGCCGCGCCGCCCCGCGCCGCCCCGCGCTGGCCCAGCAAACACACGCTGCGGATCCTGCAGGACTTCAGCGCCGAGCCGGCCTCCAACCTCTCCTCGCAATCGCGGGAGGCGGCGGAGCGGGCGGCGGGCGGCGGAGGGGACGCGGCGGCGGCGGCGGCGGCGGGCGGGGAGGGGGGGGCGGCGGGGCGGCCTCGGCGGCTCATCGCTCCCGGAGCCCCGCGCCCGCCGCCCCCCGCCCACGCCGCGCCGCTGGCCGCCCTCTTCCAGCACCCGCTGTACCGCGCCGCCCTGCCCCCGCTGGCCGACGGCGACCTCCTCTTCAATGTCAACAGCGACATCAGGTTCAACCCGCGGGCGGCCGAGCAGAGCGAGTGGTGAGGATCGGGGGGAGCGGGGGGGGGAGGTGGGGGCGCGGGGTCGGGGCGAAACGCGGCGCGGTGCTGCCCTGCGGCGCTGCCTTTTTGAGGGGGTGTTCCCGAAGAATTGGTGTCACGGCTCGGGGTTAAAGGGAGGGATTCTGGTGTCGGGGGTGCGAGAAAGGGAGCGGAACCATCTGCAGGCGTCAGCGGTTGTTTTCCTTCCAAATTTGCCCTGAAATACGGGACGTAACGCGGCGGTGCCGGGAGCAGAGGGTCCCCAGGATGCTGCCTGCAGCTGCAGCCAAAGGCAGATGCTAGCAGAAAAGCAGTGCGAGGCCGGGCTCAGGCACAGCACAACCCCCCTGCTCTGCACCTTCTCATTTGCAGGGGCTGAGCAGTCCGTCCTGCCACCAGCAGCCACACTTTTCTCCAAAGTGAGGTCTAACGTCACAAAGTTCTGCCTTCGGGCTTTGATCGGTGCTCCAGTTTTCATCCTCAGTTAATTCCTGGTGTCCTGGCACCTCAGCAGCTCTCCAGCCTTCAGAGCGCTCCATTGCCTCTGCAAATGGTTTGTTGGCTGGTGAGAAACGCTGGGAAATCTCAATGAGTGAAAAATCCAAAGGCTTGTCTAATCCAACAGCACCCTCTTCCAAACACGCTGACATTGTAGTGTTTAAACAGCTGCATTGTACTGTGCAAAAGCTCTGTGAAGCCGCGGAGCAGCCAGCGGGATCTGAACATTCAGAGGGAGAGGATAAATATCTCTGATTTCTATCCCCTGCACGTGTCAGTGGTCCGGGCCCTCCTGCTTAACAGAAGCGGCTGTGATGGGGGAATACCTGACAAAGTTCTGGTTTCCCTTAGAAAAAAAGAAAAAAGGCCACAAATGTCAGAACATTGAATGCTGGCTAAAAGCATGGGGGACCTTTGGATGGGAGAAATGTGGCTGTGTCCCATAGGTGGAAGGTGAAGCTGTCCCTGATGGCCACAACACAACTGCTGCTGTGTGTTTGCCCCCCAGGTTCCCCGAGCAAACATGAAATGTAGCATTCACGTGTCATTCTCACACTCCTTTTCCATATCAGTATGGTGCTGCTAAGGAAGGGGTGACCTACCCCGAGTTAGTGACTCTTTAGCAGCAGGTTCAGCTGAACTGGTTTCTTCTTATTCTTCCTGATTAAAAGGAAGGAGTGGGAACATTGGGTCCGACAGGTCAGTTTTCTGCTGCACCGACTTCCAGCCTCAGCTCTGTTATATAAAATTGAGGATGATGCTTTTCTTTGGGTCCAACTTGTAAGACACGTTTGTAACATAATGCAATCTAAACACAACATAAAACCTGCAGCTCCACATTTCGGCTGTGTAAGGGCCTCTGTGAGTGCTCAGTTATGTCACTGTCAGTTTTGCTCCTGACTTTCATGGACTTCAAATCAGGCATGAAGAGTGGAGGTGCCAATCCGGCTTCCCCCACCCGCAGAGCTCTCCCTCCCCAGCCCCATTTCTTGGTGCCTGCTACAAATTGTAACGTTATTTCTTTCTCCTTATTTATGGCTTTTTTTTTTTCTTTTTTTTTTTTTCTTTTTTTCCCCCTTTCCCTTGTTTGTTTTTGGTGGTAGGCATAATGAAGGGAACGAAGAGTTTTTGCCAACTGGAGAAACCTCCATAGACTCCTACCCAAACTGGTTAAAATTCCACATTGGCATCAACCGGTACGAGCTGTATTCCAGACATAACCCTGCAATCGAGGCTTTACTACAAGACCTGGTCTCCCAGAAGATCACCAGTGTTGGTATGTTTGGGCATTAGTGGTTTTTATGGCTATCTGCTTGTAGTTCAGATCTCGCTGCTGTTTGAATATTAATGGCTGTTTTGCACGACTTCTCTCTGTGCTACAACATTGCTTCCTGACTTCTGTGCTCATTTTCCTTGTTAAACATAAGGAGATATTGCCAGCTCTGTATCACCTGAATAATTGAAAAGTCTGCCAGGAAGGCAAGCCCCATTCATTTCTGATGTCCTCCGGTTATCAGGCTGAAAGCGCCCTGTTTAAAAAAAAAGGAAGAAAAGGTTAATGAAAAAATCACAGCCAAAAGCAGATAGCATCCTGCCTGAGCAAAGCATCTGCTGCTTGCTGGTCATTGTTTAAGGCTGCGTCTGGAGGGAGGGGAGCAGCAATGAGCCACAGCCTTGAAGCCATGCAGGGAGCATTGAGCGCGGGGGCTCGGAGGGGCTGCATCCCCCTCAGCAGCTCAGCTCTGCTTTTTCCACTTGGAAACCCACAACAGGGATGTGCCCCTGTCAGCCTTTGGCTCCGGTTAAACAAGGTGACAGAGTTTGTTGTTGTTTTTTTTTTCTTTTTTCTCCGGGGCTGTTTAATGACAGCATGTGTCTCTTCGAATTTAGCTGTGGAGCTGCACAGGGAGCGAAAAAAACCCGCAGTCTGAATGAAAGCCCTGCGCTGCTAAACAAGCACAGCCCGTGGGCTGCAGGGGCAGAGCTGCACAACCACCAGCCTCCAAGAAAATGGAGAGCCTTGTGCTGACCACAGAGCTGCTAAGTCTGTTTCAGGGGCATGAAATAGCAGCTCTGTAAAAGTGCTGATTGCACGGAGCCATTGCAGGATGAGGTCACCAGGTCTTTAACCCCGCAAGGCAAGAATTCCCCTGGCTTCAGCAGGAAACGGTCCCTGCAAGAATAGCACCCGTAGGCCTACGGTTGACATTTCCATCACGTGAATCCCAGTGGCTGCTGAGCAGAACTAAGGGAGCTCCTTGGTCATCAGGAGTGGGCTGAGCACAGATAGCCAGGGTGGGGGAAAGGCGGGATGCCCCGGGAGATCAGGTGCAAGCATGGCTGTGCCCTGGCTGAGTGCATGGCTGGGAGCTCTGCTCTGAGCTCTGTGGAGTGGAGCCTGCTGCTGCAGTGCATAGTGCCCAGCTGCTGCCCTGCAGGTGGGGGACAGGGACTGGGGGACAGCTGGGCTCCAGAAAGAGGATAAACACAGGCTCGTTCTCTGTCCCTACAGCTCTGGATTGGAATGATTAATTAAGGAGCACAGGTGTGATGGCTAAGCCGTGCGTTCTCCCATCTCTGGCTCAGAGATGGCACTGCAGGCAGCAGCACGCTGCCAGTGCTTTGCTCCGCATGCACACAGTGATTCCTGCAGTAGCAGTGGTGTGTGAGCAGGGTCTGAGCCAGCTTTTTTCAGCATTAGCATTGCTCTGTGAGCACATCCTTTGGCAGAGAAGAAAAGGTGCTCTGCCCTTCCCTGCCCTGAGCAGTGAGTGGGCTGTGCCCGGATTCTTGAGGGGGGATGCTCAGCCAAAGTGCCCTCTGACTCAGCTGCTGAGGTTCACACAAAACACATCAACCCCAGCCATGGTTCGGACTAAGTGGCTGCTGAGTGTCCCTTCTGCAGAGCAGTGAGATGGTTAAGGTTGATGTAGGGATGCTCAAGAAGGGAGATGGGAAGGAGAAATAATAGGTTAGTGCTCACTCTTTGCTCAATTTGAGCTTCTGGGCATGTTGCTTAACCTCTCTATGCTTCAGTTAACCTAGTAGCAGCACTGTTATAATAAAAAATAGGAGTAAAATCCTGACAGTGGTGACGTAAGTGGAAGTTTTGTCATTGGCTTCCCCGAGGCCATGATTTCACCAATGCATTGCATAGATGTGTCATGAGGTTTTCATTAATTATGGTTTTGATAGAACTTTGAGATCCATGTGGAGAAAAGGCCAGAGCCCGTAGAGGAGGGCTGATGATTAACAGCTATTTCCTATGGGATTGTCTCTTTGCTAATGTTTGAACAAGTTAGGGCCTCTTATGCCCCAACATGAAAGCACAGAACTGTGGTTTCTATCAACGGTTCCGTATTATTTCCATAAGCTGAAATATGAAGTACATTTGATAGAGGTATCTTGTCACTGTGGGAACTGGGCAGCAATCCCAACCTAACATTGAGCAGGGAGGTGGAAGGAGACTTCTGCCTCTGCCCAGGTCAAGAAGCCAGATAGGAATGGAGCTGGAAGCTTCCACAGCCCCTGTGGGGCTTCAGGGGCTCTCGGTCGGGTTGCAAAGCAAGAAGAGCATCTTGCTAATATACTTCTTTTAATCCATCTTTTATTTCCCGTTGCAAATTCTTTGGATGTTTAAAAATATGTTTTAAAATAACATCTGCCATTTTTCAGCTTTACTGCAGAGCCACAGCAGGGATTCAAAAGCATGTAAGCTGATTAATAAAGAGTAATGTATCTGACCAAAGGACATTTATAGGACTTTTACAGTTTACTTTTTTTTCCAATTGGACCGTGTTTTTCTTTATCCTCTTTGCTCTCTGTTCATTTTTTTTTTTTTTTTTCTAAGGCAGCAGCAAAGATTCTAGGTTAGAAGTAAAAATAAATGGGACTCTTCGTAGCATTCAATCTTCAGGCTCCTTTTTGTAAGCAGGACAATTAAATACTCAGGCTTACATGCATTAGATGAAATGGGATATTGCTCTATCCAGTCTTTTCCCTGCGTTCAGATTGTGGCTCTAATAGAATTAGGTGATTTGCCGTGTGGGTTTTTGATACCTCCAGTAATTAGATCCAAACTGCAGCTGAACAGCTTTCTTCACCACGTCGCACTTTCCCTGCTCCCTTTGCATTATTTATGGAGGAGAGTGGTGACCAGATTGATCCTGCCCCATCTATCAGCACTGCTCACACGGCTCTGTAATGTGCAGCGTTGTTTTAAAATGAAAACGGTGACAGAAGCAATTCCCAAGAGCAGGGAGCACCAAGGTGACATTTTCTTGATGTTAAAGTTTAAATGGAACAAAAGCATGGATGGGAAGGAGCGTCGCATTCAGCTCCCACAGTGACACCTAGAGCTGGCCTTGAAAAGGACAAGGTTACCCAGAGCTTTGAAGCTGAGGATGTGTTCTGCGCCCTGCATCAATAGATAGAGCTCCTATTCATTCTGAGCAGCATAAAGGGATAGCTCTTAATTTGATTTAATTCAGTGAAAATTTCCCCCTGCCATAAATTGTTTTCCATTGAGCACCGAATCCCAGTTTGCAGAGGAAGCACAGGCAACTGCATGCTTCCTTTGCCTTTCATAGCTGTTTATTGCACGCATCAATAATAACCATGGTTAGCTATTTTCTTGCATATTTACAAAACGTCTGTGCATAATTGCGCGGTGCTGTCAGCAGCTGAACAACAAACATGGCATGGTGCATTGTAGATCTTCATCTCTCACGTGTTCCTGTCCTGGAGAGCTGTGCTGAGGGACTGTGGTTGAGCAGAGCAGGCTTTGGTGATCGTGGGTTGAGTGAGTTGGGTTTGAGTTTTTGATTCTTTACATTCTCTGGTTGGAAAGATTTGGAAACATAGCTGACTGAGTTCATTTCTGAACCTGCAGTGCCTTCGGTTTGTGCAGGCAGTGATTAGGAAGTAAGCACATGAGATTACTCATGCAGTGAAGGAGTGCTGCAATTAAGCAAGGTGGACTTAGTTTCAACTTAGGAAAAAGAAGAGAAAAAAGACAGAGAGGTAGACAATAAATACTAAACCTAAATTCTGGCGCTGAAGGAAATTATAAAAATCTCATCAAAGGAAAGGGAAAAGTGCTGCCTGAAAACGTAATGCAATGTAGCACCATTGATTTACTGTATAAGGAAACAGTGAATCAGCCAAGAGTCAACAGATTGATTAAATGTACAATTCCAGATGAAAAGAGAGGACTTAAAGTGTACAACAAAGCCGCTGAACGGTCTCACAGATCTCTTCCCTATCAGAAGTCTTTACTATCTTGACTAAAGCAAGAAAGGTCTTTAAAAACAAGTTAGCAGGACTGGCTGATCAAGAACAAATCAAGAGATCATGATGGTTTGAACTCAATTTGAAATCTATTCTTTACAGCTTGTATAGGGCCATGTCTTTAGCCTGGGGCAGAGTATTGCTTGTTAAAGCCAGTCATAGAGTCATAGAATCACAGAATGGTTTGGGTTGGAAGGGACCTTTAAGATCATCTAGTTCCAACCCCCTGCTATAGGCAGGGACATCTCCCACTAGATCAGTCAACGTGTTCATGCTAGATTTAAGCTTGATCTATAAAATAGGATCTGAATGGATCTGAACATCTATTTCAGACATTTGCACATCCCAGGCTTTGATTGAATCGTGTTGCTCAGGCATTAGCATTGCATAAATAACCAAAACAAAGTGTTCAGAGGTCCTGTTGGAGCTCTCACTTTCCATCAGAAAACCATATAGACAAGAGTTATCGTGCAGCAAAACTGAACTGGAAATCCAGATCAATTCCTCTTGAGTCAAATCACACTGGGCATCATTAGATCTCTACTGAGTCTGTACTAGATGATTCAGAAGAGGGAGATAGAAACCACGTAGCATACAGGTATAAAAACAGGCTTGAAAGATGATGGGTAGTGCATCTTTTACACTGGTGGTACCTGTGGATCGGGAGGGGAATTCATTGGGAAGTCTTGTATTGGTGAGTTTTCAGAAGGAGTAGGAAAGGATAGGATGGAAGAAGTAGCAGACATGGTGTGTAGCTACTTCAAAAAATTCATTAGGTGCAAATACTGAAGGCATTTTTAGAGGCATGATTCAAAGTCCATCAGAGAAAACAGAAAGAATCTCTCTGATTTCACTGGTCTTTGGTCGGACTCTCCAGGAGAAGGATATCTCAGGGGATTTTTTGCAAAGCCTCCTAAACTTAGGAAGATTTCTAATCAGAACCAAAAGATCTTGCCCTGGGTTAAGAGGAAAGTTTAATGCTGCATTCCCTTTCTTTCTACTTTGGGGGAAAAGAAAGATTTTTAATTGCCTGGAGGTAAAATAGCAACGGTTCTATTGGGATTTGGTTTGAACACTGTGCCAGTATGTTCAGATGCTGCAGAAGAGGGAATTTGAGATATTCCTTTTCCAGAGCTGCTCTTGTTGTTACAGTATCTTCAGAAACCTAAAAGAAAACAAACATGAAATCAGAGTTTGACTAGAGGCTCCCTTTGGAATCAGAACAGCATGACATTGTGAGACCTTTTAAAAATTATATAAGCTTGCTGATCACAGACAAGACAGATTGCAATGGCGTAGCATCTTCCAGTTTCTTAAAAAATTGTGTATTCTGCTCCAGGGAATTATAAATTCTTCAGAAACGTTCTTAATGGGCAGTAGGTGACAGCACAAGGACATCTACAGATAAGCAAACACTGTTTGTCCAGGATAAGTTCCTGGAAGATGACGTGGCTACTGCTGTTTGCCTGGGATGATCAAAGGGATGTATTTAACTAAGGTTTGAGCAGGAAAGAAATACAGCTTAGAAAAGGAGAGGGAAGCCAGCACTCTACTATAACAGTAAGAGTCAAGGAATGTAATCAGGCCTGGAAGTCCTGATGAGTCAACTCCAGTGAGACCTGCTCTTCTCCAATTGCCACCCCTCAGGCTCTGCTCCCCATTCTACTTCATTTAGAGATGCATAAAGGATCTTATGGAGTTCAAGTGAGTCTGGACTCAGCACCATGTGTTTCCCTCTCTTTAGGGAGGGAACATTAGGTGTTGGACTTGCTGCATATCATTGAATCTCCTCTGGCTGGTCCAGTGACTAACTGAAGTGGGAATGTCTGGGAGCCTAGAGAACATGGAGGGAAGAAACATGGAACTCGTGGCATTGGCCACAGTGCCTATGGCTGCCAGCTTACTTTGTCACAAGGCCCCATGCAATGCTGTTCTCATTGACGTCACCCTCTGTTTTGGAAGGGCTCAAAGTTTTCTCCTGGCAGCAGCAGCAGGAGAGCATCCCAGCCAAACTTCAGTTGGGTTGAGGCTACTATTGCCACCGATTAAAACAATACAATAAGATGGATCTAAAAAGACCAAGAGATGCTTTTGTTTTACTTCAGCTCAGTTCTTTCTGACAGGAAACCAGGCCTCTGTGTCTCATGGAAGAATTATGCTGAATTGTTAATCTTCTTCATACATTCCCCTTTTCGGTAATGACACGCTCTCTGTTGAGTTCAGCTGCTAACAAAATCATTATCTGTCGAGTGGCTTCAATTTGCTGAGAAACCAGTCAGCTTAATGCATCTGATGCTTTGTGCTTAGAAATAGGCATGCTGGAACATCCTTTTTTCTTCTTTGCATTTCTGTGGTTTCCCAAAGCCTTGGCTTCCCAGCTGTACCTCAAAATAGGCTCTGTTCCCACTTCTGTGATGGGCTTACAGGATATTTGCTGTATTTTGGACTTATATGGCTCAGGGAGGAGAGGGAGCCAGAGTCTAAGCCCTAAGCTATTCGTAATTCAACCAAAAAGCATACATTATGTAAATTTTAAAGAAAAAAAACATGCACTCTTCATTTGTTGCGATCAGTTTGCAAGCAGCTGTACTGAGACTGGTGAGCTAGGGAGGGTTATACCTGGCAGAAAGGACAAAGTTCTGCCCTTTGATTCCAAGATACATTACTGACATAACTGACGGCATCCCACATGAATGGGGTTGCCTTAAAAAGGCAGGCAAACTCTGCTCCTTCGGCAGCAGCTGGGCTGGGATGTTCATGGAACGGTGGGGGGTCTGTGTGGGTCTTTGTAGACATGAGGCAAGGGCAGCTCCAGCTGCCTGTCTGCTATCCAAAGCAAGAAGAAACATTTCCAGAGTGCATGGCTGGGCTGTGATGTTGCTGGGGCAGCATGTGTATGGTTTGGGATGGATGTTTGCTGTTCTTCATTGCCTTCAGGCTCTGGGCATGGTAGAAAAAAGTGCCTATATCCTTCCCTCAGGTGCAGATCAACTGACATGTGATCATGCACAAGAGAGAGAGTTTGGTACATGAAAACCACATGCTTCTGCTTTACCTGTTCAGTGCAAGTTATTTAATGCCCTTTAATTACTAATTATTTATTTGTTCCTTTGGGATTGTCTGGTAATGCAAGAGAAGGCAGGGGTCAGCAAAACAGCAAGGCAGGAGGGATTTTGTTCTAAGGGAAGTGTAATCACACTGACCAGATTTACATAGCATTTTGTTGCAAAAACATGGATTACAAGGGCTGAAAGAGAGCTGTTGACCTACCAGTAATATGGCATGGAGAGGAGCAATTAAAAAGGTTGTACAGCTAGTGGCATTGCTTAGAGAAAGAGGATGTACAGGTTATGTAGGTTGAACAAGGGAAGCTCAAAGCCAAAATTGACAGAGCGAGGTAACCTGACATTCATATCGTTTTCCAGTCGACACAGGTTTTTTTCAGAACTGCAAAGAAAGGGATTGATGATGTGATCACTTGTGGGAAGCGTTTTGAAAGGACTGACTCATCCCCACAGATAGGGCTGTCATGGCTCTCCCAGCACAGAAGTGAGTTAAAGAGTTAGGTGTGGGTCATTTCGTTTATTCTGAGCAGTTTTGATTGAGATGGTGAAAAAGCAGCTGGTTTGCCAAAGTATATATTTATCTTTTTCAGTAACCTTTTCATCAAGTAAAATGCATTTTAGGAACTCTTACATTAAAATAAAAAAAGCTCTGACTTTGAAAACACTGTAATCTGGCTGTTAACATGATATTGTTCAAATTGTACAGATTGGTATGAATGAATGTCAGTCTTAAATTCCCATTAGCTCCCAGCTGGATGTGAATTCAGTGTCTGAGCTGTTGGCTCCATGTTCATGGAGTGGACTGCAGCCCCTGCCCTCCCCACACAGCCAGTGACCCTCTGCACACCTCTCCTGTCCTCTGCAACAACCGTGGGGTCTCCTGAAAGTTAGTGGATAATTCTGGATAAATCTCCATTGTGTGGAGAGGAGATGGATTTACATACTGCTCAGCAGCACTGATTAAAATTGCAGCAGAGATCAGAGGCTGCTCTAGTATCTGCTCATACTTTTAATTAAGGAGATGTCTGCTGCGCATCGGACCGTAATCCCAGCTACAGCTGGCTTTGAAACCATCCTATCTGCCTTCCCAGTGTGTATCTCTTGTTAGCAAGAAGTCCCAAAGTAGTTGAAGGTGGAGAAAACAGGACTCCAGTGAAGCTGTTCCTATACCCACTCCTCAGCTCCTCAGTCAGAATGCTTGTAGAGCCCACCATGGTTCTACCCATGACCAGCTGAAGAACACAAAGACATGTCTGACAGTATGATCCATTTTTAGTCCTGGCCAGCAGCACAAAGCTCTCCCCTGTTCACTGCAACCACTGAATAATCTGTTATCCAGTTAGGATTGCCCTGCTTAGTGCTCAGATGCCACAGCGCTGCATTTGGTACAGAGCAAACGTGTGCTTTCATTTCAAGGAAGCTGAATGTAAGTAGATCCATATGTAGCATTTTAAAGGGCTTTTGCTTTTTCCCACAGCAATGAAGTCAGGAGGCACCCAACTGAAGCTGATCATGACGTTCCAGAATTATGGACAAGCATTGTTCAAACCAATGAAGTAAGTGAAATACTGTCTGGCTGTGTTGTGTAGCCTGTTGCCTATTTCAAAGCCATTAAAAGTTTGCTCCAGTATTGCTGGAGGTTGGTGTGGCTGATTGGCTAGGCTGGCTGCTCAGTTCAGGGCTGTAAGGTGTATGGTAACCTTGCCCTGCCGGGCTGGGCTTTGGAGGTTACATTTCAGATGCATTTTAGTCTTCTCAGGAGTGTTACTCATTCTGATCTCTGTGGAATCTCGCATCATAAATATAGGGTGCTTTCAGCATTTCTTTTTTATGTAAATGTATTCTCCAGGTCTGAGCTTTATCTAATGTCAGTTCTCCTCTGGAATATGACCACGTGCGGGAGACGGCTCAAAACAGTTTTGGGAAGACCTGAATAGTATTTGTCTGATAAATTATAATTTAATCCACTGGCTGTTTGTATTGAAGAGCTGAGTTAGTCATTTGGCTGTGGCAGTGCTGACTGTGAAATGTGCTCATTTGAGAGTGGTGCTGCAAGGTAATAGATCTGGAGAGAAGGGGAAGGGCTGGGATGAGGCATCGATGATTTGCACCTGCATCAGGCTGGCCAGATCCCACTGAGATCACAGAGGTTATTCAGACATAAAGGAGATGTAAAAGAGTTCCAAACCCTGACCTCTGTGTTTGTGTTGTAATAAGGAAACTGACTCTGTGCTTGTTGTAGATGGCTTAGCAAAGACTCTCGGTGTTGCAAAATGTTTAATGAAGCTACTCAATATCTGTGTCAAGGGTACCACTGGAGTAATAAATTCATTTCCTTCTTTTGTTCCCACTGAGGAGAAGATACATTAATTATCTCTAGGATGGCCCATAAAGGAGTAAAGTAACTCAGAATGAGTGGTTTGGAATACATACTGGCATTGTATTATGGCTCTAGTGGGGAACACAGCTCGTGGGGTAAGCTGCTGCCTGGGGCCTGAGATAAATTCCCAGTTTTACTACAGATTTTGCTGTAGACTGACCTCAGACAAGTACAGACTTTACTTGATCTTATTTGACTGCCAGAAGGGACGAATAACTGGTTCCTGCTTCCTTCAACTCAAGCCTGAGCAGGAGCTCACCTTGTGTGCATTTATCCTGGGGTTTACATGGAAATCCTTTGAGTTTCCAGGCACAAGGATGTTGTGCAAAAGCAAGATGCCTCCATGTTATTTCCTACATTACACACAAATTTCTCCATGTTTCTGTAGGTCCCTAATTCATGGGAAGAGTTCAGAGGAATCAGAGATATCAGATCAGAGGGAAAGTGCTATCAGAGAGTATCTACTCCAAAATCTTCCCTTTCCCTGCCTCTGCTCTGAATCCTTAGGTCATCAGATCATCAGTCCATGGGTCCAACCCCTACATCTGCAAGTTTGGTGCCTTTAAGCACAATTCCTATTTGTTTCTCATCCTCCATGGCAAGCCAATTACTGGGCACATGTAGGGAGCCTTTAAGAACAAGGAAGAATCATGGTTGTGCAGTTGGTTTTTTACACAGGGTGTGATTTGTTTCTTCTCCATTTGCTGAGATGCAGATAATTTCAATCTCTATCTCTGGTATGACATTGTAATTTTGGGAATGCTAATGAGGTTAAATCAAAAGTTTACTGCTTCTACCCTGCCTTGGCAAGATGATGGATGACAATAGATGTATAGCCACTTTCCTGTACAGAAGCAATTACTACCATCCACCGGTACAACAACAAAAGATGATGATGTCTTAATCATTCCCTTTGCTTAATGTGAAGGGCAGCAACATCTTATTTTCTCCCTGATCTTTGCATTAAATACACATCTGGAAAAAGCAGCTTTAGAACATTCAACATCTGTGTTCCCAGGCTCCACACCTTACAGCAGTAATGCTGCTTTATGTTGATCATTGCCAAGCACATTAGTGATTTTGAATAAGAATGTTTGCAAGCATTTGTCTTCATTCTGGTAACAGTGTGCAGGGAGCCAGATGCTCGCCTAGTGTAAATCTTCTGAGCTCCTTTGGCATCTGGTCCCATTGGCCTCTTTCACCAACTTACAGAAATGTTTGTAGCATCATTTCTTGATATGGAAATAAGCAGCCTAGAACTGAAAACAAGCAAGCAAACAAAAAAGTCAGGTTTTTAAAGCAATGAGACTTCCTGTAGGACCTTACTGAGCACACAGACTGTTTCTGGTGCTTCTTCTTTTCTGCAGGGCACCCCCCTGATCCAGGCTTCACACAGCTGACTGTGCCTTCCCAGGGCAGCACACCAGAGGAAACTCATAAATCAGGGCCAAACATCTCCTAAATATACTCTTGTCACAGCACTGATGGTGTAAAGGGCATTTAAAAAAACAATTTAATTAGGGAAGCATGAAACCTTATCTTGGTGATTATTTCTGAGATCAGCTGGTCGATGGATGGACTTTAGAGTCAGGAGGTACCCATGTAGTACATCCTATATGTTTCAGTTGTCACTGTGCAGTCAGCTCCGTGGCTTTTCATAGTAGCAGAAATTTTGTTTTTCTCTCTCTGGAGCTGATAAGGCCCTTCATACAAGCAATCTTCACAAATCCCAGGTAATACACTTGTTAAATAGCATGAAGTGCCCAGCTGCAAATGAAAAATTGGAGCTTGAGTTCATCACCTCAGTGCTGTAGAGGAGGCAATGGGATACATCTCAGTACTGAACTGAACTGCGTTACTGATTTTCAGAGAACAGAACTGGCATCGGTATTTCAAGCTTGATCACAAGGAAAACTGATAATCCTGCATTTCTTATCCTGTCTGGAATCTGAAGTTCTGATAGCTGGATTGGTGTGAGGTCCACAGAGGGTAATATGCAGGGAGGGCCGGTTTGCTTGGTTTTGATTTGTTTGAACTACCTGAAAAGCTGGTTTTGCTACATATAGCTGCACTTGGCATCCCCTGAACTGAGCTAATGCCTTTTTGAGGAGGATACCTGCACAGCAAGGAGACATGGGAACCCTTCCCTATCACAGCCAGGTATCTGCTCGTGAAAGGAGAAGTCTCCATCCTTCAGCAATGCTTTCTGTAGGAGAGTCACAGCAAAATGTCCTCCCTGGGAAGCCTCTTGGAACGTGCAGAACTCGTAGGACTTGTTCTGCCCTGTCCCAACCTCCTAATTCCACATTGCATTCATCCAGAGAGCAAGCCAGCTCTGGAAACAGCCAGGAGGGCTTTGGAAATGGGGGAAGCAGAATCTGCCTTTGGCACTTCTGTGCTCAGTACTTGGTGTTAACTGACAGCTCTTCATCTGGTCATTGATTCAGGGTAGTGGAGCAGATGAGAGGCGGGGAGCTTAGCAGTCAGGGAAATGTGATAGTGGCAAATAAAGCCCCATCAGCTGCAATTATTTTATTTATCTGTGGCTCTGCATCTTCACTGCTGAAATAATTGCTCATAAAGGATTGCAGAGGAAGCCAAATCTATTTATAAAACCTATGGCCCACTGTAGATCCCTTTGCTAGTTCCAAATACATCATAGAAAAAGTGAATATTTGCTAAAACTCCAGGGAAGAGTTAATGTATTTGCAATGTATCAGCTAATGTGTAGTTTTATTTAGCTCGTAATACTTCAATCATACAAAATTAATACCATATGGGACAGGAAAAAAATAGCAGCCTCCTCTTCTCCCATGATTAGCGTGTCTAACTTCATTAGTATTGTAGAGCATAAAAAAAATTATGTATGTGATCGCTGATAACTGCAGTCACAGCTTTCTGCATGACTTAGCAGGTAAGGATGGTGTAGAGCCATAAATTCCAAAGGGTTTTGGCTTATTTGTCCAAAAAGAACACGTGCTTTATATTTTTATTTGGTTTCCTTTTGTTCCTGTGAGCTGGTGAAGTTAAATATCTGGCTCAGCAACAAAGCCAACACACTTTTTTTTTTTTCTTCCCAATGCTTTATTCTTGAGGAGGGAGATCCTGCGCCAGCGGTCAGTGTCAGACTCCTCTCAGTGCCAGGATTTTGAGAGAGGCTTTTACAGTTCCTTATGGAGAAGCCAAATAGAATTTAAAAAAAAATGGTATCTTGTGATAGGAATTGTGAGCAAAGTGTCAGACAGTCTGTGTTTAACAATGGCATTTCTCATTGCCAGTTTTATAGGCTGCTTTGTACGAACATGTAGGAATGGTATTCATTAGGAAATCCTTGAGGTTCATTTGTTCTGTTGAAGAAATACTACTGTATCTTGTGAATCCACTTTTGACTATAAGAGGTTAAAATCAATTCTGTTCCAAGTTCAGAAGTTGCCTGATATTTTTAACATCTTTTTCCTTTTCTCCTCCTGTTTTCACAAGTCCTAATGTAGGATTGGTGAGAGCCACGTGGCTGCTTCTCCCAGTAACTGCTGCTCGCAGTTACAATCTTTAATAAAGCAGAACTAATTAGCATCAGGGTGATATCAGGCCAGAAGAGACTTTTAGGGTCATGAAGTCCAAGTTCCTTGAATCACAGGCAATCATCTCATGAAATCTCATTCATAAACAGATCCAACCCTGCTGACCCTGTGTTTGTACCCTTTGTCCCTTCCGCTCCTCCTGAAACCCACTGCTGTGGTGTCTTTTGTGTTTTGCATTAATTGCAATTTAACAGTTTAATCACATAAGTTTGTTTTTGTGACTTTGTAGAAGAAATGCTTCACGCTGACACTTTTTTTTGCTGGAGTGTCAGCTGGCAGGGTGCAACTTTCAGCATGGACAAATCCCCAGTCCCCAGAGGCAGCACCCTTCTTAGTGCCAGCTGCAAGATAAGTAGTCAGCATGTACAAAGGTGCTGCTTTATAGAAACAAACCCAGCATGCTCGCCTTCTAGCTTCTGTAATGTTCCTATAGCTCAAAGACATAGGCACTGTTAGCTGGGTTGAAATCTATCAGCCAAGGTCATGGGAAAGATAATATATGTGCTTCGATTGGCAAAGCACCACTTTTTATTGACTTTTAAATGTCATACTTATAAAGACAAAGGATTAACAGCCTTCTTGAAGTTTCTCTTTGATTTCCTTTTAGGAGTACTCAACAAATAATGCATCTTTTGATAGGGTTATTAAATAGGGCAAACAACCCCCATGATACAAACAACTGTTAATTGTCTTCATTTCCTACAGTTATATCCCCTTCTCGAAGCTGCAGTGTAACTGCTGTACCTGTGAAAAGCAGCCTCTAGGCCTGATCATCATACCAATTAGCTCAGCGTAATTCTTACAACTTAGTCAAGTCATAAGTCAAGACACAGTTCAAGTCAGAGGAGTCGAAATGAACTTAGCATCGGGGTGGCTGGAAGATTGCTTTCCTTATTACATTGCATATCATGCTGTTTTGAGGAAATACATTTCACAAACCTGTTGCATTTCAGCTGGCAGGCATCCAGTATAAACATGCTGTTATAAGTCAACGTGGCAATTAAATCAAATTGCAATGTTTTCTCTGAGCTGCTACAGAAGTGAGATATGCATACAGTAGCTGCTACTCTAGAAGCTTTCCAGGATTAACACTTGGACAGGCTGGAATGTGCTGTGTGAAATCCAGCAGAGCAGTCGCTGGTCAAAGTGCAAACCCAGCCATTGGGTTTTGCTGCTCCGTTTTGTTGCTGAGCTGTGTTACTGTGCTGCTCCCCTAAGGACTCTCTTTAGGCACAAGGTGGGTTGCTGGAGACCCAAGGATGAATGAGCTGGTTGGGAAGGCTGGGGTTAGTAATCCCAGTATTCAGCTTGTGTAAGTGCATTTTAAAACCAAGAGAAGTGCTGTTTTGTAACATCGTGGAGAAGAAATGCTTTTTTTTTTTTTGCTGCTGGAAGTGCCAAACCATCATCAGATATTCTGTGGACCTCATTCATGAGACATTTGTCTTTATAAAGATATATTCAAATCCTTACCTACCAATTCCCTGATGAAATATTTACCTCACTCAGATTGACAGGCAGATTCTGCTTCCATTTACCTCAGGAATGAGCCTGGAGTAAGCTAGATGAATTGTATCGCTTGATATTTGAGTTGTGTGAGATCTGAATGTGGGACTTAATGAAGACAGTAGAGGTTGCCATGTAGTATTTCGATTCTTCAACGTGTTGTGTATTATGCATGAATTGTTTTTCTCTTTTCTAGCTAATCCTGTTCACCAAACCATCCTGCAATATCTCAGTGCAAATTGTACGTTAGCACTCAGCAGTGCCGGTGGTCCAAATCTCATTTATGCAAATAGGAAAATTTGCAATGACTTCAAGGAGAGTTGGATGGGGATTGATGCTGACTGATAGCACTGGACAGTAATGAAACTCAGTCTTCTGTCTGCCAATGTGCACCGCATTCCCCCTTGCCACAGTTCAGCAACCGCTGCCTGAAATACTGATCAATCCCATTCAGCCCAAGAGCAATCTCTTCTCCAGTTCTGCAAGTGTGTTTATGAAATGGCCCCAGAGTCAAAGTCTGCAAAGTCCAGGTAGCTCAAAGGTTGTCTGCTTGGATTAGGGTCTGTAGGGACCAATGCCAGAGGCATTTCACCAGCCAGAAAGAGGAAAACAAACCTCTTTTCCTCTTTTTGGCAGCAGCTCTGTTGTACTGTCCCATGCCGAGCTGCCCTGTGCTGAATGGTGTGACCTGGTTCTTCTGGGAGCAGAGCTTCCTCCTGCAAACCAGAACTGTTGTGCAGGATACCACAACCCATGGGGTTCTGCCCCATCATGTAACAGGGGCAGAGTGCTGAGCAGCCACCTCCTGCCACTGATGGTGCATTCTCCAAAATTCTCCCACCCCTTACGTCCTCTTGGCATCTTCAACTCCTGGCAGGAGAAGGCTTAGTTCTGCAGCCCCTGGAGGTCTCTGTGACTGGAGATTTTTGCATGAATAATCCAAGGCTTGCATTTTTCTTCACCTTGTTTGTTAGGATTTATTCTGCATGTGACAATACGATGCTCAATGTCCATTTTGGGCTTTTGTCTTGTACACAAATGGCCACAGTCACAGGCTGTACCTGTCCCTCATCACCTTTTTAAGAGAGAGCTGGGTGGGCAGTCGTATTTCATGGTAAAGTGTCTGCATGTATGAAGCCATTGATTAGCTTTCTATCTCAGTGCTTAGAGAATGTCGCTAATTAGTCTTTAGGAACAGAGACATGCTGCTGTATTTTTTCTTCTTTAACAATCAGATATTGCTGCAGCTATTTTTTTATGCAGTGTATTAGGAAAGAGGCATTTTCAGTGTCTGATTTTAATCAAGCTATTTCTCCATTTTAATTTTCCTCGTACCAAGAAGTGCAGTCCTGCAGATTTGTCTTTTAATCAGAGACTCATTTTTAGTTTCTCGCTTTCCTGTCTAACACATCTTGCCCTGTGCTGGCAGTACAGAAAAGCAGCAAATGTTACTGAGGGAAGAGCTGGCATGAAATGTATAACCTGTGATTTACTGCAAAGTAACAGGGCTTGGCACATGGGGGACTCGGTGCCACAGTGAGGTAATATGCCCTTAGTAAATCTAAGCAAAAAGGATGTATTGAGAATGTTTTCAGTGGGATATGCAGATAATGCTACCCTGAAATATTTCATGGGAATTTTTCTCCATTGCTCTGCAATTTATAGTCCTTAAACTAGGCTCAAGAGACCAAAATTCAGGAAGGGAAAATGATTTGTGCAGGAGTTGTGGCATAAACCAGAGGCTGAAGTCATTGGGATATGCAGTGTTTTATCTCCAGAGCTGCGCGCACAGGTTTGTCCTGGCAACGAGTAGTGTTGTGCTCATCTCCTCCCTTGGGAGGAGTAGATCTGGGAGGTATTTATGGAGCAGCATCGTTGCTCCCTGTGGTCCAGGCATCCCAACCACTTGGAGGACACAGGTGGGGATTTAGCCACTGCTGCTGAGACTGGAAATTCATTTGCTCTTCTAACAGTCACCTTGTTGCAGCCCTCAGCATTTCTGCACATACCTCGTGTTGGGGCCGGCTCCCTGCAAACATCTGTGGGAAGGGGCAGGAAATAAGCAGCAGTGAATTGAGTTTGATGAACCAGCTTTAGTACCTGAGGCTCTGCACTGAGCTTTGCCACAGGGCAGCAGTTCAGGGCCCATGGTCAGTGACAAGGTGACAGTGCGGTGATCCTGGGAGAGACCTGCAGCTGAAGTGACCTGTCTAGCAAAGTGAGACAGGGAAGCTTTGGTGAACTGAGATGCTGAAGAGAAAGAGCACTGAGTACATCCAGATTATGCCACTGGCATGGTGCTGTTGGTGACTCACTGCTGTAAACAAACAATGTATGTTTAAAATAGCCCTAATAGCTGCTAATAACACAGCTTTAGGACATGCTGGGCACTTCCAGTTGTTGGTTGTTTTTTTATTTTATTTTCATTTTCAGTGTCTGGTTCAATAGTCTTAGTACTTATTCTTTCTAACTTAACATTTTCTACCCTGCTGTAATGTTCTGCATGTGGGCAAATGAAAGTGAGAAAGCCCGAAAGATTAATTTACATGTGAAGAAATAGCAGAAACACAGAGTAAATAGCATCTGCAAACGTGTGGGAGCAGGGGAGCAGGGAGGACAGCAAAACTGTTGTAAATAGAAGCAATTTAAAGAGCTGCATTATGCGCTGCGGATAACAAAACACCCCACCCGGCACTTAAACCAGATCCTTCTCAGCAGCAGAGTCCAGCTGATCCTGTTAGCATTTCAAGCCCCTTCTGTAAACCTTGCTCATGGGAGGTCTGAGTCCTGCATGCAGGGCTGCTCACCAGGCCAAAGAACGAGCAGTGCCATGGCTGTGCGTGGGGATTGCTCAGGGCAGCAACGCCACAGACTGCAGTCAGTCTATGGATTTTGAGCTGCTGTAATGTGTTGGCATGAAGGCAGTAAAGGAGATGTTGTTGAATTAATTTGTAGGTTTAGGGAAGATACAGCTATTTTGATTCTTATTGTTTTTAGTTTTTGGGGTAACCTATTTGTATTTTGTTTGGTTCTATCTTGTGATGCACAAGAAGAGCTTTCCTACTTTCCTACCTGGCCTGTTTGTATTTCTCTGTATTTTGTGTCTGCCTGAATCGCCGCAATATGACAATCTGTGCAAAATTTTCAAACAAGACTCTTTTGCATCCAATTCTTCAGGGATTTATGAAGCAGAAAATCTGATTCCCGGGGCCTAAAACCCAGAGGTTTTTCAGCCTTTCATGTTGCAAGCCCAGGTTTTGTGCAGGGAGGAGGGGAACACGATGCTGCCGGCTCTGCCTCCTGGGGCTGCTGATGGCAGATGCAGCTTAAAGCAAAATTCTGTTTTCTCTGCATAAGATTGAGATGTGGGTCCTGGCTGGGACCCCAGATTGATGCTGACATAAGGATATGGCACATCCAGGAGGGCTCGTGCCAGCCCAGGGCAAGGTGGTTGTCCTTTACCACATGGTCCCGACATCTCCCTGCATCCACACCAGCAGCCAACCTAACATTTCAGGTCTCCAACACCAGCAAAAGAGACTGCCAAAAGAGAGGAGAGCTTCCCTTCCTCATTGTCTGCCTAATTACCCTGTTCTCCGAGCCAGCTCCAAGTTAAAGCCATCTATTTTTGCAGCCTCCTGGCCTCAGATACAGGAGCTGGGTGACTGGGAGTTTAGCCCAAATCGAGCCCTTTTTGCTCTGCCTGACCTACTTGTCACTGCCCGCAGCAGCCGCAGAGTTCTGCTCCTCTCTCTTCTTTGCTTCACAGTCAGCCATTCAGACTGCCTACTGCATCACGGCGCCTTGAAGTCGTTCCACTGTGCCTTGGGTGTTTTAGGACAGAAGTTGCATTTTATATGCTTCTGTAGCACTCGAGGTACCAACACTGCCCAAAGCACTAGTAAAGCCTCCGTTGTTTTGCTACAGCCGTGCAGGGCAGCATCAACCCGCAGTGTGTGTCTCCAGGAGGTGTGAGGCCGCTGGGGCTCCCGGTCTGTTGGCACTCAGCGAGGCCACGTGGAAAAGCAGGGTTTTGCAGCATATCCAGGCCACCTATTCAAACCCAGGCTCTTTTGGCACCCGTGAAATTGTCTGACAACTTGCAGGCGGGCGCTGTGCCACGCGAGCAGATGGGCATGGACAGCCTGGCAGCCAAGAGCCCAGGATGTTCATCTGGCAGAGGGGAGGCAGGGCAGAGCTCCTCGGCCAAATGCCAGTCCTGTGAAGTCACCGAGGGAAAAGCTGTCGTGATGGTGGGGCTCTGGTTGGGGTGTGGGGTGTTTTGCAGCAGGGTGATGCCCCCACAGCTCCATCCAGCACCAGTAACACGGGGCTGCTGATGTGGTGGGTTCGAGCAGTCTTGATTCAAGGATGCTGAAGCGAAGAGAGGCTGCGGTGTTGTTCTCAGTTCAGCAAGTCTTTCTGCGGGGAATACTGTTATTATTCACGGCTGTAAAGTGTCTCCAGATCCACTTAATTCCGGTTAATTTTCTGAGGCAGAAAGAGAGAGAGAGAGCTGCCCCTGCACACCGAGGTGCTGCCCATGCTCTGACGGGGCAGGTGGGAGCCCAGAGCCCATCCTGGGCAGGAGGTGGCAGTGGAGCAGCCATCCTGCAGCTCGCACTCCCTGCAGCACAGGGCTGTTCCCGGCCGTTGGCTGACATGGCGCTGCTGTGTGCTCCTGAGCGCCTGGTAGGCCGCAGTGCTGCAGGTGCTGGGCCCGCTCTGTGAGGCGGCTGCTGCTGAGGGCTGCCTCCCACCACCAGCGATCCATCAGGTCACAGGATTGCCACGTCCCCCGTGGGGCACAAGGAATGCTTAAGAGGGCTTTCTTTAGAGCATAACTCCAGGGAAGGCCTTAATGCTTACTGCCCTCACGCAGGCAAGCATTCCACGGTGATTGACAGGTCATTAATTAACTGTTATTAATTAACTCCCTCATCTGAAGGAAGAGAGATAGAGAGGAGCTCCTCCCAGGCCTGGGTTCCATCTCCCTGTGAGCACAGCCTGCCGTTCCGCAGCACCCACAGCCCTCTGCCTTGGGGCTGAAGGAGCTCATAGGCACGGCAGGAGGAGTGACCCCGCTTTCACTGCCCCTCCTTGAACCACCCTTATTTCCTGACTGCCACAGTTCAAACCGTCTGCATGGTCTGCAGGAGCGAGACTGTTTCTATCTATTCCTCTGAATGTAGAGGAGGAGAAAGGTGTAGAAATAAATCTGTTGTTGCCTTTGAGCATCTCCTTGTTGCCTGCTGTGTAAGGTGGGAAGGGTTCAGGCTCTGTGTACAGTACAGCCCAGCTGTGCTGGTGGATGGTTACATACCTCCTTTAAGGCTCGCCATCGTACAGAAGGTTTCAAACCGAAATTAGGACAGAAAAAACATTACTTCTCCTCCAGGTTAGCTGCAGTGTGGTGACCTTCCCTCTGTCTGCCATAGCACCAGCTGTGCTGAGATCGGAGTCCTGCTGCAGCCAGAGCTGTACGAGGGGCCAGTGTCCCTCCTGCTGACTTCAGCTGGACTTTGCTTGTGTCCTTGAAGATGTTATTTTGCTCTGATCATTCTGAGCCAGCCCATATCTTCCGCCAGTTGTGCCTCTAACAACATATGTCAGGCGATGGGATGGCAATTGCTTTATTTAACTGCATTCACCTTTCAAGGAACAACAGTGTGGCAAATCTGTGGACTGCATGTGGCCTAAGAGAAGGAGCCGTCCTGTTTATCCACAGACATCAGAGCCTTCACGAGTTCTTGGGGCAATGCCAGTCTTGATAAGACATCAGTGGTGCAGACAAGCTGGTAGCTATCACCTCTGATGGGCATTTTGCTGATGGTTGTGTGAAGTTTTGTGTCTAATATTGGACCATTTGGAAATGCTCCATGGTCCCTCTTATCTAACTGTGCTCTTATGAGATTATTGGTTTCTCTTTTCTCTCCCTTCTCCTAAAAATTCACGGTAAAAAGTGGGATTGCACTGTATTGAACCGCATGATATTGCACCAATTCCTTATTGCAGTATGTGATGGATTTTAAGAGATAACATTCTTCCAACTGTTTTGGCATTACCGAGAACTTTACTATCTGTGAACATAAGAAAGGTATTTTCTAGCTCTCAGCTATGACTCCAAAGACCCAAAGAATTACACTCAGCAGCCCTGAGTTTTGAAGCCTGACATCACTGTGAGCAAGGAATACAAATCCATCAACAGGAGCGGGATTTTAATTGCTTTTGAGTGATTCTATAGAAATCTAAAATTGCTTTGTGGGATGAAAAAAATCCCCACTTTTATCTGTGAAGAGGTTTTAATTCTGGTGAATAAAATAAGTGGCTGCAGTAATAATACACGATTTTTTCCCTCTGACTGTGTAACAGTTCCTTCAGCCCCTGCCTGCTGGGATTTTATCCTTGAGCAGTGAGACATCGGAGTTCATCAGATATTATAGGCGGCAATTGCCAAGCCAGGAGAGGCCCTTTGGTGGCTGGAAGATTTGTGCTTCTATTACATGAGCTGTTAAAAATGAGACCACCTGCATTCTTCTGCAATGTGACCTTGCCTAGCCAGTCACATGCTGTATTTTCTCTCTGATCTGATCTGATTTTAAGAGTAATCAAAAGGTCAGCAGTGCTTTAAAACACAATGACACCTTGACTCTTACTTTTTTTTTCTTCTTTTTTTATGAAAAGAACCCAAACTTCTGCAGCCATGTCTACATTTCACTTAGCTTCTGGTTAAACGCGTCCTCAGGGAGTGCTGGAAAACATTTCTTCTCCTGTTTAGAAGAAAAATAAATGAGCCATATTTTTCCTAACAGTTTGCAAAGAAAGAGGTATCAGAAGTTGTCTGTTTTTTCCTGTGTAATAGATAGAGGGAAATAGCTGAACACGGTCTTGCTGGAACAAGAGACAGTTCCAGCACCAACAACAGTCTGAATATTTCCACTGCTTTACCAAACAGAATGATTATTGAGCTCACTTTGGAGAGGGAGCAGAGAGAAGGAGAATCTAGTATTTATTTTAATTACTATTATTGAAAAGGGGCGGCTGGCATTTGCACCTGAAGTTCTGCACCCGTGTTCTACCTGTGTTTTGAAGGATGACCATGCTAACATGCGTTAAGGACAGAAAACCTTCCTACAGAAGGCTTTAAAATATCCTTAATTATTTGCAGGAACAAACCCAGCCATTACTGGATTTTTTCAAGGACAATTATTTTGTCCCTTCTTGCATAACTACACATTTTAAAATACATTTTGAAATAATTATTTTTAAATTGATTTTCTTCAAATTGGCCATAACAAACCAGACAAATCTCTTTGGGATTAATTTTCCACCTAGCTGAAGAAATTAGCTATCGCTTTCTCCCTCCCACCTCAACGCCGTGGCAGAATGGTTACCTGGATACCCTGCCTGGAAAGGATGTATGTGCTGAAGCAATTTAAATAGCCTGATTTGTCATCTAACTGCAGACATCATTAGCAAAGCATTATTTGGCTGGAACATTGTAGGCTGAGCAGGGAGAGCTCCTCTGTGTCGAGGAGAGGTGGAATTTAACCACCTTGTGACCACAGAGTGCCTGTCCTGAGCACGGGGCTGCAGCAAGTCCAGTGTGAGGGCCTCAGTTTGGGGGGGAAACGCTTTTACAACCATACACAGCTTTTGGCAGTGTGCTCTGCATCAGGGTGAAAACAAAGTCATTCAAATTTATCATTTCAGAACCCACTGATATGTTTATTTGGGGGCAAGGATTTAATTTTCTTATAATGGGGAGAAGGAAAGGAAGGAGATGTGAACCTGGCACTTGCTTTTCTTTTCTGTAACTTTTCCCCCTGCCCAAGCCCCCGTTTCAATATATTCAGTGGAGATTACCTCAGGATGGAAGGCTCTGCGAAAGCAGGTTTTTAGAAAAAAAAAAAAAGATGAATGACAGTGATGTCTTGAGATTAATCTTACTATATATGACAGTGTGCCTGTGGAGCGTGGCCAGTGTGCTGCTGTGTGCATGGGGACTGCGTGAAAACAAATCCCAGTATTACATCACTGCTTAGGGCTCCACCTAACACACCATCCCCAGGCTTCATCCAAATTCAGGGTCTTTATGATCGGTTCTGGCACGATGTGGAAAATTCCCCATAGCCTGGAGGTTTGTCAGGTGTGCTCAGTGATGCTGCGCTCTTCTGTCTGAGCTAATCCTGCAGCTTCAGCAGAGTTGCAGGAGCACCACGATTGTGCGGCTGCCCGGTGCATGTTCTGAACATCCTTCCTGGCAAATCATCTCCCACATCATCTTCAGGAATCACAGTCTCAAACAAAGCAAAATAGTTGCAAAATATTCACTTGATCTGTGGTGCAAATCTTTTCCCCTTAGTTATAATTGATGTTACTAAATTTGTATGGCTCCTGTCATTAGTATTCCCAATTGGCTCGATGTACAATTTATTTCATGCTGTAAAAACGCTACAAATTTTCTACTGATTAACTGCAGCAGTTGGGCGTGTTTGGGGACTTATCAGTGTGGGTATTTTAGGGCGGGCACGGAATCCTTTGTCTTTGAATTAAAATGTGTCTAGACAGTTTTTTTGACACAAATTTAGCAAAATGAAGATACTTTCTAGGTAGTAATTAAATTCCTTCGGTGACATAGAGTCTATTATGCACAAGGCTTCAGTATAATGAATGTATTTATTTCCAGGAAAACGACAGCCTTTTCCTTGCCATTTGTAGGACCCAGCATATAAATAATGCAGGCCATGCTGTGCTGCTTTTCAGTTCTTCCTAGGAAATTATGCCATTAGAAATGCCACGGTTCTTTCAGGCACACACAGACACAGCAGGTAAAGAGAATATTCATGTGATGAACAGTGACAGGAGCAGCATCAGCCAATACATAACACGGCAAAGCACAGCTCAGGCAATGAAATTGTTTGCAGTAATTACAGCATGGAATGAGACTGTTGTTTAACTTAACACCGCAGTAGTCAAACTGTGATCCATTAAAGTGGGCTCTGAATTTATGGCCAAGGTTTAGGACTCAGAGGTGCAAAATGAAGTGAAGGGAAATGGAGTGCTCTGCAGCTTTGTGTGCAGCTCCAAACATCCACCTCCAATAGCCTTAGACAAAATAAAACTTCATTTGAGCAGTTTGGGAATGACGAGGTCCCCATAAATTCCTCACAGGCTTGTTTTTGTTTGAGAGCACATGTTGCTATTTGAAATGTGCGATGCAGACATTAAAATATCTCCTCTGCAAAACTGGTGGTTGTCCCCATGGTGCTGAGGCAGCAGAGATCAGGCTGTGTGTAAAGGCACAGTCGTGTCCCTTTTCTCAGCGAGGCAGGAGTGTTTGGTGCGATAGGTAAATTTACCATCTACCATTTGTAGGCATTCCTTGTGCATAAACAGAGCTTTAATACTCAAATGGAAATTGAGTATGTTATGAGCCCAGAAAGAGTTTATCTAATTATTTATGGGCTGGTCACATTCTGAGCTGGAAGTGACTCGGTCATTTTTAGTGAAATAACGTTACAGTAATGGGTGCATTTCTACAGGAGCAGAATGTCCTCCTGTCACGTGGCACTGCTGCACAGAGTGACTCTCAGACTGTTCCCAGGTCTGATTTCCAACCTTTGTGTCCCCAGGCTCAGTGTCCATAGAGGAGAAGCAGAATCTCCGCTTCTGCCTGGCTAATTGCAGATCAATGATCTGCAGCTCAGAACTAGATTTTGGTCTCCCTAAAGCATCTCTGTGTGTCTTTGTGCTTTCCTTCTCCCTTCCAGCTGTGTTCTGAGGATGGCCAGTTTTGGCCAGCTGGGTGCCCTGGTTTGTAAGGGCTGTTCCTGGCAATCCACGTTAAGTTTTTCCATCCTTAACGTACAATGCCCGCATGTATTTGTTTGCCCCAAGGTTTTGGAATGGATTAATTTCCAGAGCTGGGGTTAGCTGTAGCTGGTACAAAGGAACTTTGTACAGGAGTGAGTTCAGCCAAGCACAAGGCTCTTGGATGTAAAGTTTTTGTTGGACCTGTCAGAACAGCTCAAAAAGCCAAAAGAATTCATTGTCCTAGGAAAAAGGGCCTTTATCTGCTTTCTAACCTTTCCTTCCACGACAAAAATCAACAGTTTTTCTCAATTGCTCTTTGATGCAGCTTCAGAAAGAAATTCCGCCAACATTAGAGATGCAGATGTAAAGCAGCACGTCATTAGCATGAGTGACTACCCCTTCTTTCTAATATGAAATGCATGGAAAACCATTAAAACTCATGAAATAATAAGGCAGAAGCATATAATTTAATATGGTCATCTATTTGGAAATGCACATTGTGCATGAATAAGCAGATGTATCAGCAGGGACTCTGCAGCCATCTAGCAAGTAAGTTGTTTTGCAGTTGCCATCTGACCTGTAGATAAGTGGAAACAGCGTCTTCATTAAACTTACAAAACTGCACATTAATCATTAGCAAAATCAACGCTACAAGATGTAGGGGAAGTTTTGCTATGGCTCAGGGAGCAGCGAGCATGTACCTAATGGCAGGATTGAACTGTTATGGTCATATCCAATTTTGGCATGCTGTTGGCGTGAAGGTTTGAGCTGCAGTGCTTGTGTGCTCGCTATGGAGGAAATCCAATATGGAGTATCATTTCTAGGCTTATTGTATGCTGGGAAAGAAAAGCTGTAGCTGTAAATATGTCCTCAAAGACTTGACTTCACAAGTGGTTTCCAATGAAGATGATTTAGAGAGAGGAACTGGGCTGATGCTGCACTAAATGCTCCATTGCTCTTCATCCTTTCCAGCAAGCTGTGAAGCAATCTGTACTAGAGCAGAGCTTTTGGAAAGCACGTTTTCCAGCTCCACCTGAGACTGCTTAAGTCTAATCTGGTCTGTACAGGTTTCTCCAGTGCCTTCCAATAGCACAGAGCCAGAAGATTAATATGTCAGGTGTGTTTTGTTCTCTTTTCCTCTTACCCTCCTTGGGGTGTAAAAGATTAAGAACAATTGAGTTCTTATTTTTTATAGGCCTTTCCCAAAGTGTCTTGTTTCATTTTCAGTGCTCACAATGTTCCATATTCTGTTCCCTGTTAGAGGAGGGATGGGTGGTGAGACAGGAGCTGGTGATTCCCCAACATCTGCAGGGATTTCATCTCATCCTCTTGGACCACACAGCAGTTATGGAGGTGAAATCTCCAATGTAAAGGCTGTCATTGATAGGATGGGATGGCTCCAGTGTGTGCAGTGCTGGAAATCAAGGGGTGAAGCT